TTTGGGGCTTGGCACCTGAAGCTCAGCAGCTAGGGTGCCAGCCACATACACCAGGGCTGATAGGTTTGAACCCGCCTTGGGCCTGCTAAACAACCATGACAACTACAACAAAAAAATAGCCAGGCATTGTGGCAGGCACCTATAGTCCCAGCTCCTTGGGAGACTGAGAATTGCTTAAGTCCAAGAGTTTGAGGTTGCTGTGAGCTGTGGCACCACAGCACTCTACCAAGGGCGACACAGTGAGACTCTTGTCTCAAAAAAAAAGAAAGAAATTTGGTTAGAAGATTGTGATGAAGGAGTGGTCTCAAACAAGAACAGCCAGACTCTGCCTTTTTTCTCAATGACAGATTCCTCTGCCATGTTTTCCTTCAATAAAATGCAAAGAGATAAAAGACTGTCTTACTGTCAAATTGGTTTATTACAGAACCTGGCTTAACCCAGCTAAATTGTACACCTTTATATATGTATGTATATATGGATATCAAAGTTTATAAAACATATTTTAGATAATGAAAAGACATACAATCTGAGTAATGAAGGGATAGCTCATAAACTGTGCTTATCGTTATCAGAGATAATGGACCTGAAAGTTAATTTATTACATTTAGAATTACTTTCTACCATGAATTAAATTCTTTGGTCAACCAAATAGTTATATTTTATATGCTTACTAAGTCACCAATGGTCACCACATTGCTGAATCCACTGGTCCATGATCTTCTGTGACCAACCTGTCAGCAACCTGTAACACAGCCAGCCTGTCACACTGTCTTCCAGAAATGCTTTCAGGATGCTACACTCCCTTCACTAGCAGCTACTTCTCTAGCCTTTGCTGGTTCCTTCTCTTCTCCCCAACATCCCAGAGCTCAGTCCTTCAACACCTCCCCATTGTAAAAATTGTATAAGCCTAGCTGCTAGACATTCCTGTGTCAGCTTAATCATTGCTTCTTCTAGAAAGCCTTAGATCCCCTCAAGATCATATTGGCAAGGCCAGGCGCGGTGGCTCACACCTATAATCCTAGCACTCTAGGAGGCCGAGGCAGTGGATGGCCTGAGCTCATGAGTTCTAGACCAGCCTGAGTCATAGCAAGACCCTATCTCTAAAAATAGCTGGGCATCTGGGAATTGTGGGTGCATGTAGTCCTAGCTACTTGGGAGGCTGAAGCAAGGGGATCACTTGAGCCCGAGTTTGAGGTTACTGTGAGCTATGTCACCACAGCACACTACTGAGGGCAACAAAGTGAGACTCTGTTTCAAATAAATAAATAAATAAATAAATCATATTGGCTGTTTCCTCTTGGGGGTCCATCAAATCCCTTACATGTCCATTTCTCCCTTAGCTAGCACAGGTCATGCTATCCTGTTCATCTTATCTTCCATGCTAACATATTTGCTGCTTAGCATGGTAATGTATAACATAACCAGTATTCTAACATCCTTGCAGGTCTCCTTGATCTAACCCTTATTGCTGCATAGTATTCTATGGGATGGATGTACGTTAGTTTACCATTCACCAGTGGAAGGACATCTGGGGTGTTTCCAGTTTTGGCTGTTAGAAATAAAACAGCTATGGACATTCATGTTTAGGTTCTTAAAATGCCCAGGAGTACTCTTGCTGGGTCATATGATATGTATATGTTTAGTTTTAGTTTTTTTTTTTTGAGACAACAGAGCCTCAAGCTATTCCCCTGGGTAGAGTGCTGTACCATCACAGCTCACAGCAACCTCCAACTTCTGGGCTCAAGCAAGTCTCCTGCCTCCGCCTCCCAAGTAGCTGGGACCACAGGCCCCCAACACGCCTGGCTATTTTTTGGTTGCAGCCGTCATTGTTGTTTTTGGCAGGCCCGGGCTGGATTCAAACCCGCCACCTGAAGTGTATGTGGCTGGTGCTGAGCCAGTTTTTTTTTTTTTTTTTTTTTGAGACAGAGCCTCAAACTGTGGCCCTAGGTAGAGTGCCTTGTCATCACAGCTCACAGCAACTGCCAACTCCTGGGCTCAAGTGATTCTCTTGCCTCCGCCTCCCAAGTAGCTGGGACTACAGGTGCCCGCCAACGTCTGGCTATTTTTTGGTTGCAGCCGTCATTGTTTGGCGAGTCTGGGCTGGATTCGGACCTGCCAGCTTAGGTGTATGTGGCTGGCACCTTAGCCACTTGAGCCACAGGCACGGAGCCATGTTTAGTTTTAGAAGGAACTGCCAAACTGTTTTCCAGAATGTATCATTTTACATTTCTGCAAGTAGTGTTATGAGAGATTATCCATACTTTGTATTGTCAGGATTTTGTATGTTAGCCATTCTATTAAGTGGGTAGTGATAGCTTATCATAGTTTTCATGTACATTTCCTCAGTGGGTAATAACATTGAACGTGTTCAATACTTATTTGCCATTCTTACATCCTCTTTTGCTAAAGTGTCTGTTCAAGACCTTTGCCATTTTCTAATTGGGTGCAGGTGTGTCCAACCTTTTTTTCTTCTCTGCCACATATGGGAAGCAGAAGCACATATAGGCCTGGGGCACACATTGAATACACAAACACTAATGAAAGCTGATGAGTAAAAAGAAAAAAAGGTGCCACCACAGAAAACCAATGAAGTCTTCACATAATTGCATGTAGCCCTCAGGCAACAGGTTGAACATCCCTGACAGTACTTTGTATTCTGAATACAAATCCTTTCTTGGATGTGTTACTTGCAAGTATTTTCTCCCAGTCCTTGGCTTATTTTGACATCCTATTTTTTTGTTTGTTTGCTTTTTGAGACAGAGCCTCAAGCTGTCACAGCTCGCAGCAACCTCCAACTTCTGGGCTTAAGCGATTCTCTTGCCTCAGCCTCCCAAGCAGTTGGGACTACAGGTGCCCACCACAATGCTGGCTATATTTTGGTTGTAGTTGTCGTTGTTTAGCAGGCCCGGGCTAGATTTGAACCCACCAGCTCTGGTGTATGTGGCTGGCACCTTAGCCACTTGAGCCACAGGTGCTCAGCCTTTGTCATCCTATTAATTAGATCTTTCACAGAGAAATGGTTTTAAAATTTTAATGAATTCCAGTTTATCAATTTTTTTCTTTTATGGAGTGTGCTTTTGGAGTCAACATCTAAGAATTCTGCCTGATCCTACATCTTAAAGATTTTTTTCCTATGTTTTCTATTTTTATATTTATACTTACCATCCATTTTGTATGAATTTTTTGCAGAAGGCTGAGGTTTATTTCTTTGCCTATTTGTTCAGTTGTTTCAGCACCACTTGTTGAAAAGACCACCCTATTGAACTGTTTTTGTACCTTTGTCAAAAAAAGAGCTGGCTGTACTTGTATGAGTCTATTTCTGGGTTGTCTGTTCCATTATGTTTTTGTGTCTCTCTGCCAATACCACATTTTCTTGATCATTGTACATATACAGTAAATCTTAAAATCAGCATTATTCCAACAAAATATTCTTTTTAAAATTGTTCAATATTCTTTTGCCTTTTCATATACTTTTTGTTTGTTTGTTTGTTTTTGAGACAGAGTCTCACTATGTAGCCCTCGGTAGAGTGCTGTGGCGTTACAGCTCACAGCAACCTCACTCTTTTGGGCTTAAGTGATTCTCTTGCCTCAGCCTCCCAATACTTTTCATATACATTTTTTTTTGGCCAGGGCTGGGTTTGAACCCACCACCCTTGGCATATGGGGCCGGCGCCCTACTCCTTGAGCCACAGGTGCCGCCCTCATATACACTGTATAACAAATCTGTGTATATAAAAATTCTTGCTGCTATTTTCATAGGAATTTCATTAGACCTATAGATCGATTTGGAGAGAATTTATGTCTTCACTATGTAGAATCTTCCATTTCAACATAAACCCTAAACTGGTGGTTAATGCAAGAATCTGAAGCTAAAGGGGGAGAACTTAAGGATTTAAATGGTGCTAGGAGGGAAGTTCTCAGGAACCCGACCTATTTTCAACCTTTGGAGTCAGACTCCGCCCGAGGCAACTAGAGAAGGGTAAGGGAGGGAGCCAACTCACTTGGGTAGGTTGAGTTTGCAAGATTACATGGAGTTTCACAACTCATTTCCAAGACAGGAATTAGCATTCCCCTTTGAGTGAAACTGAAGTGGAGAGTTCAAAGTCTCCAGTGAGGTCTCACACATTTCCGAAGGGAACTCTCCAGAACTATACATATCCAGGCAGAGAGCCTTCTCCCCATTGGCCTTGAGGAGCCACGAACCGCGTGCGCCCACCCTGCCTTGCCCACTAGGGGGCGGCAAGTCCCCGCTCCCAAGTCAGGCAGCTGCGTAAAAACTTGTTGGAGATAGTCGAGGGGCGTGAATGGGTCAGCGTACTCTGGGGAGCCATTGAAGCTGGGCTTATAACTCTCAGCTGAGTCCCCGGCAGAGCCAACGGAAAAAGCTGGTTTCCGTGAACCATCAGGGCATCCTAGGGCGCTGTACTCCAGCGAGGTGGGGATCAGGCCTTGTCACAAAATTCCCCCGCCGTCCTTGAGCAACAGTGACCTTGAACGGGAGGTCAGCTTTGCCAACTATGTCCATGCCTTTCTGACCAGAAGAACTGCGACAGACGCGGGAGTCCAGACTTCGCCTTCAGGGCCCTTCAGGATCACGGTCTCTTGAACTGACCCCACTTCCTGCTTTCTTTGGGAAGACAGAAAATACCCCTCCCCACATCTTCACGATCCGTGTCTCTCCCCTTCTGGACCCCTCCGCGGGCCAGGAACTTGGACTGACCCATAGGAGACAACTCTGCCCCTTCTAGGTCCTCCCCTGTTCCGACGTGGTACCCTCCTTCTGCCTCCCGCCCCGCCCCCGAGGAGTACCCGTAGTAAAGCCCCTCCCGTCTGGAAGCCTCGCGTTACTCAAACACTTAGCGCGGTAGCGCAAGCGCTCAGGAAAGGGGCGGGGAAAACGGAGGCAGAGAAAGCGACTCGTGGATTGTGTGGGCCCGGCCACTGGGGACAGACGCGCGTGCGCACTCGGCAGCGTTTCCAGGATCTCGGTGCGGGTAGGACGCCTGTGGTTTGGCGTGTCTGTTTCGTGCGTCTTTCCTTTTCTTCACTTCCCTGGCGCGGGGGATTGCGGGCAGCACTCTACTTGAGCCGGCCCAGGAGCCCTTGAGTGGGCTGGCTGGCACGTGGAACGGAGAAAGTAGGCACTGAAAGGCCACGGAAGGGGGCGGTGGAGGAGTGTGAGGTGGGGCGCCGTGATAAGAGCGAATAAGAACGGGGGCGGGGCGGGGCGGGTGTTTGAGATGAGTGGTAGGGAACTGAGAGGCTGGAAGGGAAGAAGGACGTCGAGTGTATACCCACCCCGGGTAAGCCTTTGTGCAGGAAACGCGGTAGGAAAGGATGTGAAGTCGTGTGCGACCTAACTGATCTCGTCCCTTTCCTCTGCCAGGGTGCACACAGCATGGCAGAAAACCGAGAGTCCCGCGGGGCCGTTGAGGCTGAGCTGGACCCGGTGGAGTACACCCTTAGGAAACGGCTTCCCCACCGCCTGCCCAGGAGGCCCAATGACATTTATGTCAATATGAAGACTGACTTTAAGGCCCAGTTGGCCCGTTGCCAGAAGCTGCTAGACGGAGATGCTCGAGGTCAGAACGCCTGCACTGAGATCTACATTCATGGCTTAGGCCTAGCCATTAACCGTGCCATCAACATTGCCCTGCAGTTACAGGCAGGCAGCTTTGGGTCCTTGCAGGTGGCCGCCAATACCTCCACGGTGGAGCTAGTTGATGAGCTGGAACCAGAGACTGATACACGGGAGCCCTTGACTCGAATCCGCAACAACTCAGCCATCCACATCCGAGTCTTCAGAGTCACACCCAAGTAATCAAAATGAAGCTGGTTCCCTTACCCTATCTCCCACCCCCCAAACAGCAAGCCCAAATGTGGCTCTCCTCATGTTGCTTATGTCATGGATCTCCTGTGACAGCTATGTAAGAAAAGGCCTGCTCCCTCACAGCCCAAAGGATTCTGCATTGGGGAAGGGGGCAGTTAACTCTTCTTGGGCCCGAATGATGGGTCTTCTGAGTCTGTGTGGTCTGTAACTATGTCCTGTACAATAAAAAGTGCCAAATTGTGTTGATTCCTGGCCACCCCACTGCCACTGCCTCTTCTCTGTGTAAATTCTGTGTGTACCTGGAACAGGAAACTTTATAGGTATCACGCTACAGAAAAGGAACCCACGTGTTTCCTGCCTTCAGAAAAAGCATAGCTTTATATTGTCAACCGTGATGACATAAAATAAATTGTTGAGTACGATGCAGAAACCTGATAATCCCAGAGAAAGGCTAGACAGATAAAGTGTACACACTGGCCTGCTGAGATGCTGCCAGGGTGCACAAGATGCATTGGGCTCCTTTTTGGCAATGGTCCCTAGGCATGGGAGAGGTGAGGGTTTAAAGATTAAGGAAGGATACTAAGACTTAATGGCCTTCTGTGTATCACGCTGTGTGGTAAGGAATGAAAAGGTGTTTAATTTCTGGTCCTGCCAGGCCGAGATGGCTACCAGGCAGCTGTGGTCCAGAGCTCTTTAGATCCTTTTGAGTGGGCTGGTCCAGTGGGAAAGGGAAGCCCCTCTGAGTAATTAATTACTGGGCACCTATGTAATAATTTTTGGGAGGATTATTTGTGGGATAACCTGATACATTTATCACACTTAGAGCCATTTAAAGCAATGTTTTTCGTGTTATTCTGAGATGGGGGTCTCGTTCTGTCACCCAGGCTAGAGGGTAGTGGAGCCATCACAGTTCACAACATTCTCAAGTAGTCCTCCCACCTTAGCCTTCTATGTAACTAGGACTATAGGTACACACTACCACTTCCAGCTTAATTTTTCTTTATTTTTTAGAGAGAGATTGGGTCTTGTTACGGTTCCCAGGCTGGTCTCAGACTCTGGGCTCAAACTGTACCAAGGTGCTGGATTATAGGTGTGAGCCACTATGCCTATGTAAGGCAATGTCTATTGAAGAGTGGTGATCCACGCATTTGTGGCCCTTAAGAGCAATTTACTGGGTCATAGCTTTATTTTATTTTACATATTTTTTTGAGACAAGAGTCTTACTTTGTCACCCTTGGTAGAGTGCTGTGGCATCATAGCTCATGGTAACTTCAGACTCTTGGGCTCAAGTGATTCTCTTGCCTCAGCCTCCCAAGTAGGTGGAACTACAGGCACCTGCCACACTGCCTGGCTATTTTTAGAGGCGGAGTCTCACTCTTCCTCAGACTGGTCTTGAACCTGTGAGCTCAGGCAATCTAACTGCCTCAGCTTCCCAGAGTGCTAGGATTACAGGCATGACAGCATTATTTTTAAAAAGCAAAGAAGAAATGTAACTTGAATAGTAATGTTTATTGAATCTTTCTCAGTTAGATATGTGTATATACATGTGCATACTGCTTAAGATATAAATTGTGTTTTCTCTTGTTAGAGGTTACAAGTGAGAAAGCCTCTAAGAGTTGGTAACAGAATTTTATTTTACTCTAGTTCATGTGAATGTAGTTTGGTTTGGAGATCTGAAAATCAGGCTCCTGCTTTAATTTTCTTTCTTTCTTTCTTTCTTTCTTTTTTTTTTTTTTTTGAGAGAGTCTCACCTATATTGCTCTCTATAAGTGCTTAAGCGATTCTCTTGCCTCAGCCTCCTAAGTAGCTGGGACTAGAGGCACCCACCACAACGCCAGGCTTTTTTTTTTTTTTTAATTGTAGTTGTCATTGCTGTTTAGCAGGCCCTGGCTAGGCTTGAACCCGTCAACTCTGGTATATGTGGCCGGTGTCATTACCACTGAGTTATGGGCACCGAGCCAGGCTCCTGCTTTCTCAAGTCCCTTCCTCCCACTTACTTGTATGAAATGGCACCTACCTTCAAGGAACTCATCATCTAATTAGGAAGGTGGACAAATAAGTATGTATGAGGAAGAAGTGTTATATAAGGAGAGTGGCATGAAATGGAAATGTGGAGATGGAAAGGGCTAACTTCTTGGTGGGGTCCAAAACAGTTTCCATTTTGACCTGGCTGTTGAAGGGTGAATGGAGTTTGCCAAGCAGAAAAGAGGTGAACAGGCATATTTGGCAGAGAGATCAAGGAGGGATTCATAAATAGGTGGAGTGTGTTCTGGGACTGGAGGGACTCTGGGTGGCTAGAAGGGTGAGACAAGGCTGCTGATAATTCTATCAGGCCATCCTCCCTGTCAGCCTAGACTCGACACTCCCTTGCCTAGGAGCCCCCAGTGAGGTAGTGGGGAGCTAGCAGGCAGCTGGATGGAACTGTCTCCCTGCACGTATGTGCTCTTGTCCCTGTGTCCCTGGCCTGGGCCCAGCTGAGGTGGTGGCAGGCAGCCCTTCTCATTTTGTTTGTTTTGGCAGGTCCCTCTTCTAGCCTATTTGTTGTTTCTACTCCATGTTTTCTCACTGCTTGCCAGTGGGGGGTTCCTTCAGTGGCAGTTCTGCAGAAACAGACCCTAGATGTTGCCACTGAAAGGAGAAAGGGTCTAGGGCAGTGTTTTTCAACTTAGGCTGATCTTGAACTCCTGGGCTTACTTTTTATTTTTTTTTTTTAATGTTCATCCAAAAAAAAAAAAAAAAGAAAGAAAGAAAGACTATGCTTACTGTACTTTGACCGTCTTCCAAAAATCAATGATTTTCAAAAATTTTTGTGGCGCACCAGTTGAAAATCAGTAGTCTAGGGGCTCATTGGTTAGTGTGTGTGGGCAGGTAGGAGGTGTGAGCAAGGCTCCTATATCTATCAGAATTCATGAATGGTGAGAGGATGGGGCAGGGAACCCCAAATCCAGTACCCTCCGTAGGGACACTCCCACCTCTGTCTTTTTCCCTTTGCTTACTCTCCAAAGTGACATCCGTCAAAGCTTAGGAAAACAGGGGAGAGAGATAGGGACTGAAGTAATGTCCAAATGCAGTGCTCCTCTCTCCTTTTTACTCAATAGTTGCAGAGCCCACCCTGAATAGGAAATGACCTCTTCAGAAACAGATCCTCAGAGACCAGAATTCAAATACTAGTCTCAGAGAAGGGTGTAGACGTTGGCTTATCATCTATAGCATTTATTGAGCCTCCACCATTTGCCAGGATTTATGTTAGGCACTCCATCTGCCAAGAGAGATATAAACTATTGGTTCGGTAAAGACTAATGGGAAGCAAATAGCTTTAAAAAGACAAGTACTTTGTATAGTGCTTCCAATTGTCCTAGCAATAGTTAGAATTTAATAAATAGTAAGGGCTGCTTTTTTTTGAGACAGAGCCTCAAGCTGTCCCCCTGGATAGAGTGCTATGGCATCACAGCTCACAGCAACCTTCAACTCTTGGGCTCAAGCGAGTCTCCTGCCTCCGCCTCCCAAGTAGCTGGGACCACAG